AACCCTAAATCCTAAACCCTTCACCCAAAAACCTGAAATCCAAACTCATGGCCAGCAAGCGGGATCACGGAGCCGCCGTGGTTCAGCATGCCCAGCGGAAACATCATCAGCTTGCCGAAGCTGCTGGAGACGTTCCAATCGGTCCTCGGCTTGCAGAAGGGCGGCGACTTCTTCGCTTCATGTAGGGGCCTTACTAATTGGTTTTGGGGTATATTATACCATAATCATAGTAAGGAACCCCCCAAAATAGTATAGTAGACCAAAAAATCATAGTAAGGAGCCCCTAGAAATAGTAGTATAGGTCATCATCAAGGCCCCTTTTTGCTTACGGCTCGGAGCTTTGAAGCTTGGAGTCTCGTGGCTTGCTGAGGGGTCGAGGGACTTGGGGTTCTACGTCTCAGGTTCCGGATTTCTGGGCGGTGCATCGTTTAGGGGTTGTAGGGTTTAGGGGTTTTAGGGTTTAGAGGTTTAGGGTTTAGGGTTTAGAGGTTTAGGGTTTAGGGTTTAGGGTTTAGTTGTTTTAGGGTTTAGGGTTTAGGGGTTTAGGGTTTAGAGGTTTAGGGGTTCAGGGGCTTAGGGGTTTAGGGGTTAGGGGTTTAGGGTTTAGGGTTTACGGTTTTGGGGCTTTGAAAAGTATTTATGAATAGGTACCTCGATGGAAACCATAAAGGGGATTTTGAAGCTTCCCAAATTGCCACCTAGTTTATGTTCTTTAAGCACACGGAAGAACCCGATCGAACCCCAACAACCACGGTGCGAACGGGTCCGAGACAGCCTCACTGCATCCAAAAGCACACCGTATGTTGTGAAGAACCGTAAAAGACAGGTTTTGGGCATAAATGTCATATCAGCCACGATCCTTAACGATGACGAATCCAAAAGACCTCTCTCTCGAAAGAAGAGTCATACCCATGCCGATGATGATGCCACGGCGAAGATCGGCGTCAGCAGGTTGGCCATCAAGACCTGCCACCAAACGACGCCAAAGAGCCAGGTCACCATGCAGATGCAGAATGTGATGGCCACGAAATAGCCTCCGATACTTGCTGTTGGTAGAGCCCTATCAGATGAAACCCTGAATCCAACCTGTAATTCCTGCCTCCGACAACCCTTATGGAACCCAACAAGACCTACAAAGCCTCGTTAAAACCGTGTAAACCCTTGTAAAGCCCTGTGATTAAACCCTAAACCCCTAAACCCCAGCCTCCGATGTAAGCCCATGGAGGGATCCTCGCACCCGTGAAGATCCGGATCAGCTCGCGCTGCGTCGTGAGGTCATCCACGCCTTCCTCGCGGGGCTCCGGGGGGAGGGGGCGGGGGGGGTTCTCTTAGAGGTTCTATCTGTAAGGGTTTAGGGTTTAGGGTTAAGGGTTTGGGGTTTAGGGTTTAGGGTTTGGGGTTAAGGGTTTAGGGGTTTGGGGTTAAGGGTTTAGGGTTTAGGGTTCTATCTGTAGGGATTCTCGGGGTTCGGGCTTTGTTGGGGGTGTTAGGGTCACGTGTGTTTTCAATTGGGTTCTGAATGGGCTTGGTTAAGGACTCCGGCTTCAAACGATGGAGCTTGAGGTCAAGTTCGGGTTTTGGGATAAGGTTTAGGGTTTACGTGTTTAGGGACTTTGGGGTAACATTTATGGTTTAGGTTTAGGGTTCAGGGTTTTAGGATAAAGGTTGAAGGTTTAGGTTGAGGGATCAAACAAGGTTTTGACGCCATGCGGTCCTCTGCGGCCCCGGCGTTGGAGTAAGAGTTGGGCTTCGTGAAGCCCTTGATCACAATGAACACGAGCTTGACGATAGAATAGAAGCCATCAACCACTACCATGGCGATACCGGGGAACAGCGTGTAAGCCTTCATGTCTAAATACTTGGGTGCATCGGAATAGTACCTGCATCAGCTGTCGGAGACATGTGGCCACATCACGGTGCTGCTAGTCAGATCCAGAAACTACACCGTCTCTACTACTCCGAACAACCTTTGGACCAGGGTGGCGGGTCTAGGGCTTCACTGAGATATGCTTAACCTCAAAACTTTCTTATAAAACCTTCTTAAAGACTTTCAAGCACCACCCCCAAACCTGCAAAGAAACCTCCCGAAGATTTTGAGAGGGCCCACCAGCAGGACGGGTTCCCGGCGCCCTTCAGTGAAGCCTCGCACTCGTGGCTGCCCTGCACCCAGGGCCCAAGGAGCCCGCTCCCCAGGAAGCCACCGAGGAGGATGGAGAGGTTGATGTTGGGGCCCAGGAGCATGCCTCTTTAGAAGGGGATTTAGGGTTTAGGGTTTAGGGGTTTAGGGGTTTAGGGCTTAGGGGCCTAGAGGAGAGTAGGGTATATAGTTTAGTATAGTATAATGGATTATCACATGCCTCTTTAGAAGGGCCTAGGGTAGAGTAGAGTATAGTTTAGTATAGCATAATGGATTATCACATGCCTCTTTAGAAGGGCCTTTTCAACCTTAAACTCTAGACCTAAACTTCGGGTTTAGGGCTCAATTTCCTGGTAGTGCTTATGCCTCTATAATTTGGTTCCTTAAGGGTTCTTTGCGTGTCTCAGGGTTTACGGCAGCATGAACCCTGGACGGTTCGGAGCTCTCGGGCTTGACATGTGTTGGATTTAGGGTAACTTTCTGCCTGCTTTGGGGGGCGGTTGTAGTTTAAGCATGCCTAACAGACGGTATCACGAAGGTTGCAGTTGGCTTTCGGGTTTGCGGTTCAGGACGTTGAGCAAAAACACAAAAACAACGACGGATGGGACACCGAGAGCATTGCTCCTGCAGGGTCCAAAAAGTGGAAGGGAAATTTCTACATTAAGCCCTAAACCCTAAACCCCTAAACCCTAAGCCCTACTTAGGCCCTAAACCCACCAAGCCCCGGAACCTCTGGGCGCCTAAAGAAAGCTACCCTCTTGTCAGGACCGGTGCCAATGGCAAACTGCGAGAGGTCCCAGTCCATCTGCCAGCCGTACTTGGCCGCTGCCAGGCCGAAGAGGGGAAACTCGCCCAAGCCCTGGAAAGTCCAGAGGAACATGCTCCAGGCCCAGGTGATGCCTGTCAGGATTTAGACTTTAAGGCTTAGAGGAGTCTAAGGCTTAGGTTGCAAGCTCCATGCCTGGGGCTCAAACTCTGGGCTTAAAAAGCAGAGCCCTCAAACCCTAAACGGCCCTACACCCTGAAACAGCTCAGACTTTCAGATCCCTAAACCCTAAACCCTAAGCCCTAATTCCATAATAGACCCCTTTAAGATCCTTCGGCGGCCTGCAAAGAGAGCCAAGAGCTTCAAGCTCTTCCGCACGTGCGAAGGGTCCGCGTGCAAGGTGCGGATCACTGTGGCAGTGGCCTTGTTTAGGGTTTAGGGTTTAGGGTTTAGGGTTTAGGGTGCGGATCACTGTGGCAGTGGCCTTTCTTCTCTTTCGGGACAGACAAAAAGGGTGTAGGGCTTAGGGGTTATACGGTTGATGATCTAGATCCTGCAGTACCCCTAATCAGGGAATGTACCATAGTTCCCAGAGTTTAGGGTCCCTAAGCTGATGCAGGATTTCTATGATCAACAGTATTTCTGGCTCCCCAGAGAGCCCAAGACCCCCTTAATTAAGGAATATACCTTAAATTGTAGGCCCTGTAGGGGCTTTAATAAATCATAATATTAAGGTACATTCCTTAATTAAGCCTTAAGTTATAGGGGCTTTCATATGATGATTTAAGGTATATTCCTTCATTAAGGGGTATTGGGCTCTCTGGGTGCACGGACAAAAGGAGCCCTCAGGCCGCGGCGGTGCCACTGGGGAAGAGGAGCTTCCGCTCGATGATGCAATAATTCCTTGGAAAGGGTAAAAGGGTACCACTCAGGGACCTAGATTCCGCAGGGGGAAGGCGATGAAGAGGCCGAAGAAGGCGATAGAACTACCTTCAAACAGGGGTTTAGGGGTTTAGGGTTTAGGGGTTTAGGGGTTTAGGGGTTTAGAGGTTTAGGGGTTTAGGGTTTAGGGTTGATGAAGAGGCCGAAGAAAGCAATGGAACTACCTTCAAATCCAAGGGTTTAGGGTTCAGGGTTTAGGGTTTAGGGTACCATCAAGCATCTACAATGGGGAACGCTTTGGCTTTTCAAGCTTCTTTCTACGAGGTCCTCCTGCAAAACCCGCGTCGGGATCATGCACCTGCACTCCTAACTACGCTCTAGTTCGCGGCTTAAGCCGATTCTAGCTTCAATCTCTTCCTTCATACATCTGCAATCCTAACTACGCTGGAGTTCGCGGCGTAAGCCAGATTCAACCCACTCAGCATCAGTTCAATCTCTTCCTTCATACACAGCCCACTGCATCGCGAGATCAAAGAACAGGGCTCTATAAAACAAGCAAGAGGCCCTCGACCTTGAATCCTAAAGCCGAAAAACCTGCAACCCTAAATAGCCGAAGACAAGCTAATTGAACCCTTAACCATTAACTCCTAAACCCCAAGACGTGAACCCGAGTGTTGAACGACTCACTACCAAAGAAAAAGGGTTCTGGTATGTCAAGAGCAGCTCCACAGCATGGTCTTGCCGAGAGGAAGGTCCACCACATCGGTCAGGCTACCTTAAGTACTGACGGTTTAGGGTTTAGGGTTTAGGGTCTAGCACATTTTCAGGTGGGTAGTTACCGTTATAGGAGATTTGTGGAAGGTCTATATACCTTATAGAAGCCTGTATAGAAGTCTTAGAAGCCCTTTGTACCCTAAACTCCCCACCTGTAGTTCCCTTTCATTGAGGTGAGGAACCACTTCAAGATGGCTATCTGCACTGCATGATCATGATCGGTTTAGTAATATTAAGAGTTGCAATAACTACTCCAGGCGTAGTTGAAGTGCAGACAAACACCAAACGGCAAACAAACCCCAAACCAAAACCGCGAACCCCAAACCCAAAGCTCTGCACCCCTGACCCTACAACACCATAGCACTAACTTAGGGGCCGAGTACCTTAGCCCGAAAAAGGTTAACCTTTCGAATTATAATAGGTTTATATAAGCCCCAAAGGGCTAAAGGTTACCTACTCAGCCCCTAAGATAAGAGGGTGGAACGCCCTGGGGGCC